AATTTCTTCTTGTTCTAATAGACACAAATTTACTTCATCCTTCTTTGCAGGTACTTTTCACATATTTAAAGATTCCTCTGCCCCCAGTTTTCTCTGTTCGTGACATCTTTTATGTCTTGACACTGAACTAAAGTACTAGTAAAGTGGTACTAGTAGGATTTATGTAGAGTTAAACCTTCCCTCACCACAGTAACCTCAGTGGTCCACTGACTCCATGATGGCAATGATATATCTTGCTGCACTCACAGCACTCACAGGTGTTGATCTCTCACCCCGTCTAATTTCAAGTAAGCATTCCCAGCTCATTTAGTCTTTCCTGGAGAGGTTTAAGTTTGATTGTTTCTGTCACTCTTTTATGGATACTAACTGGTTCACAGCTTTGGATGTGTGATGTCCACACTCAATTGTAATAGTCTGGGGGCTCGTTAGCCAATGTTTACAAGTGTAATGTAGTTTTTTACTCATATCTGCCTTTTTTTTCTTTACTTGCCAATTTCATTGCCGTTCTATGCTTTCTAATTTCTTCACAGTGATAACTTCATAATTTCCGCAAAGTGTTAAACAGAAATCCAGCCATTTTTTTTGAGTATACTGAAATATGTTTAAGGATCTTGTGGTTATGCTTAACACAGAACACTTCACAGAACTGTACATTATACCACAAAATTGTTCTTAACATGCTAATTTAAAACATATTTTCTTTAGATTAGTTCATAAAGAGAGAGGAAAGAAGATATTTAGCTCCAGACAGCACTTGCAATAGAAATCAGTTATTTCTGTACAGTATCTTTCCTTTGAAATATCACTAAATGATTTCCAGAGAGAGGAAGAATGTAATTTAATGATCACTTGCGCAGCTCAAAAACCTTTCATCAGAGCACCTCAAAGCATTTCAGACAAGCCTGAAAGCTTGTCTGTTTTTCCCCAACTATTTCAGTTGGCCTAATAAAAGATACTGTGTCTTCCTACACACCTTGTATTGTTTAGCACTCAAAGCATTATCATACTTGTTTTACAGATAACTGAGGGGCACAAAGAATCCATGTAGTTTTATTTCTGCAGTGAATCTGAGATGAACTCTGTGGGGTCCCGTTTTCACTGTGTCTCCTGGACTTGCAGAATACATGTTCTCAGATTACAGGCAGACGTGGAGCGAAATCTTCATCCCACTGACATCAGTGGCAAAATTCCCATTGAGCTGAATAAGGCTTAAATTGTGTCCTAGCTTTTCTGGCTGCTGCCTGCCAAAATCGACTTCAGACCTGTGCATCCTTCCTGTCTTCTGCATCGCCATTAGTAATGAAGGTTCTGTGGTCCACATCATGTCTGCCGTTTCACTCTCAGTAAGTGATCAAGGCAAATATAAATGAGGAATAAGAGACCCCAGCAACAGGAGGAGGTCTGCATAGTGAGTGTGTGGTGTGTGGTTAGCAATCTCCTTGCAGTTACTGCAGATAGATGCATCTGCCTGCATCCACTCTGTGCTGACAAAAGGAGCCATACATGAAGAGCCATTTGGATTGGCTGTCCTTGCTCATGAGTGTCCCAGTTTGCAAGTGTGCAACCAGAGACACCACCACAAAGACTATGTCAGGTCTCTGCTATCATGTCTGACCTTTTTAATTAAAGGAGAGTCTAACCATTTTGAGACAATCTAGCAGTCTCTTCCAGCTTCATTTTTGCTTAGTTAATACTGTGGATTTGGGCACACAGCACCAGATGCACCCAAAGAAATTAGTCTTAAAAGAATGATCAATAAGTCTTTTTACTATAATGTCCGTGGAGTATGCACTTTCATCAGAAGCCATATTGTACCACAGAAATATAAGCACTTTAAAATACAGATTACAAAAAAAGGAACACAAAGGGAGAAAATGCCATGTATGGATGTCTGCTTCTGCTGTTGAGGATAGCTGAATATGATGCTGATGAGAGAAAGAGTATGTGTTCATTCTCACTCCCTGTATTGTCCATTTGTCCCTTGCTGCACGAGTCTTCTCAAGTTTGATGGGGGTGCAGCCATCCAGTTTTAGTATATTCTTGCTTATTTTCTAGCAAAGTGCTTACTAAGTCCTCTTGCTGTTGTGCTAGACTGAGAACAGAAAGCTCTTGCACATCTGGCATTTGTTACCTTCAGCTGCTTTTCCTCTTTCGTAGGTATTTCAGGCTATGGATAAGCTAGAGGTAAGTTGCTGTGTTTTTCATACCACCAGTTTCAATTAGAAGGTAAAGAACACCAAACAGATGAGGTCTGAGAGTAACTTCTAGGCTCACAGAAACATTCTCATGTCCTTTTGGCTAAATTAAATGTTGGTCTTTCTATGTACATCTTGTATTACAAGCCACTCGCAAATCTGTATATCTGATCATTCTCTCATTGTGTTGGAAAACAATATGAGGGAGTTTCTTTCTATACTAGATCTTTGTGGGTAACTTGCTAGTAAACTAATTTTACATGACTCAGATTTAAATAATAAAAAGGCTTAACTTCAGTCTGAGAAGAGTTTATTGTCTACAACTGTAGCCTAGAGACAAACTCCAGCACCTTTGGGACTCAGCTGAGGCAGCAATTAGGCAGCATTTTATTGTGATGCAGTGAGTGCGCAAAAGATGAAGCTGGACTACTCTCAAGAGCTTAGAAACAAAATTGGCTTCCTGGAGAGAGAACATAAGAAATCTGGCAACGTAAAAATATTTAAAGAGCTTAGGGCTCCCAGGGGAGAATTTCAAGCTATTGAAGTGGAAAAGACTGAGCATTTGCTAAGATTGAAAAAAAAAAAGGAGAGGGGGGGTTACATGAAAAACGACAAAGTGGGTTTTTTTACTGTAGCATGTTTCAAAGGGGAAAATATAATAAACCTGAAATCAATCAGTAGCACAGACTTCAATGCAGTGTTCCAAATCAAACAGCCCTGTCTTGAAAACAGGAGTCAAAAGAGAATTTTTTTTTCATTTCAGAATTGTAAGGGATTGAGGCCAAGAAACCATTAAATGAGGTGAAAGGTCTAAGCTAGAGGGCATCTTGAGCAAGTCTAATGAAGTCATGGTTGCTTCAGCAGCCACGTTCCCAAAGGGTTTTGCTGTGTCTGTCACTGTCTCTCTGTTCCTCTGCATCTGGCTTCTGGCCTCTGCACTTACGTGCCAGAGTGTGCCCCACCAGGCACTCTACGAAGCTCCCTTCTAGCAGCTCCATAACATGTAACATCCCTGTGTCAAAACTAAGTTGTACAAAATGTGATTGATCTCGCCCATCATTTGGTGTGTGTCGTACAGGCATTTACCTGTGAGCTAGTCGTGCTTGACTCCATATATTGTCAGCAGGGAGAAGCAGGAGCTTATGAGACACAATTTAGCTCAACTGAGCATAAATTTCTATCATATGCCGAAAGTGTCTGTTTCTCTCTGACTTAAAATGGCATCCTAGGGTGACTAACTCCCAAATGGACACCTACCATTTAAACATCTACATTTGTTCAATGAACTCTACCCACATAACTGGCATTGCCCCAGTGCACACTACGTATCAGAGGTTTCTCTGCTGTTTTCAGGCCCTGCCTTCACACAACATGTATCTAGGACTAAGACGAATTGGCTGGAACAGTTTAGCTCATGTCCCAACAGTAATAAAAGGGCTAGAGGGTGCAGAGTGTTTACCTGATTGTAAGGTAAACACTTCTTGCCACCATTCCTTTGCATTATGCTGACAGCCCTGTCTACATCACTGCTCCAGCCAGGTTTTGGGGCTGAGGGGCAGCTGTTGGTAAGGAGGGAGGGGATGGGTGGAATGGAAATGAAAGAGGCTGGTGGAGGGAAGGAAGCAACATGAGGAAGGGCCAGGATGCTTTATATGCAAAGTAATAGCCCAGTCTGTCTCTCTGGCATCCCCAGGGCAGTGCAGGCTGCAGTCCTGAGCTCTGCATGTGTAACGCAGTTGAGGGATAGATCACCCACAATCTCCACCTGGGTCCTGGATCAAGAGCACCTGGGGCTGAACTGCATGTAGAGGGAGCATGCTGCATGTTATGGCCATGAAATAAACCCTGCGACGCACATCCTGACTGCATCTGGTATTACTGCCCTGCCTCAGCCTCACATGATTTCATATGTCAGAGGCAAACCCATCAAATGACTAAAGAAACCCCAAGAGATCTCTGAAGGATTCCTGCCCCAAGGGTAGAGCCAAGTGACTTATCAGAAAGGAAAGTCTTGCTCTGCTCTTCTGTACCTGAGAAAACTTCATCTGTACAAACTTTTGATGTCTCTGTTGACTGACAAAACTAAACTACTAGGCATAACTACTCACTGATTTTTCAGTAGTCCCCTGAGGATTACCCATTCTGTGCTGAAGGTACTCAATTCCTTCTCATAGTCCCGAGGTGTTCCTTTCATGTATTTAATGTCATAGGCTTTCCATGTGGTTGTTGTGTTGCTAGTTTGGAAGTTTTATGATCTGTGGCTGCAATTTGCAGAACAGATAAGGTTTGTTGCTCTTATCACTGATGCATCAGTCTAAAGGCCTGGTGTGAGTGAGCTGCCCGGTGTAGAAGGCTTTGTTGAGCCCTACACACAGCGCTGTACATATTGTAAAGCCATCCTGCTTACCCTGCTCTTGATTGTTGGTAAATTTCCCAGAATTCATCTCTTTTGTTTGTCAGAAATTAGGGTTACAATAAACAGCAGAGAAAAGGACAGCATTATCTTCTTTGAAATGCACCACTGTAGCAGCAAACTTCTGGACACACCATTCATAGACCAGAAAGCAAAGCGCTGGCTGCTGTGCAAATATAACAGCAAACACAGTGTTCCCTGGAGAGGCTGAGCTGTAATGTGCAGAGACAATATGGGGCAGTTCTGGATGAGCAGAGGGCATGCGTATTTCAGTGTGCTGCAGACAGCTGTGGCTCTGGTATTGCATGGTGCAAGGCCAGATACATATTTAAGGCATTTCCTGCTTCATCACTGTCTGCTAGGAACATGGTACACTTTTTCTATATGTCCAGAAGACCTAGAGAGGGGGAAGCGGACCCTGTGCCCAGGACTTGTGTGGAAGTGCTCCATGGTCACTGCCATGTCAGTGATAAGTATCAATGCACACTGCATGGCACCCCACGATGCTGAAGAGGAGACAATGCTGAGGACCTGCCCAAATACACCTATCCCAGACCTGACCTGCTTTGTGCTGGAGATCCTATCACTTTGCTGAAGTGATGCAGAGGACAAAAAACGTGATGGAGGTCAAGTTCAGCAATACGTGGCAATGCACAGCCTGGACTATGAGGGGAGGTGGGTATACCTTAAATGAGTTTTGTTGCTGACAGTGGCAATCTGCAGCCTCAAACTCAGGACCTTACAGTTGGAATTCAGAGCCTGTACCCTTCTACATACAGTACACCCTTTGTTGCTGGATGAGCATTCACAGACAAAGCACATTTTTGCAGCAAGACTTGAAAGAAGCAGGTATAATCCATTGTCATATTGCTAGATGGCAAGAAAATAAATGCTTTTATGCCTACCAAGATGTGACTAGCTCATCAGTTATGTAATCCACTTGTTCATGCTGTTGTCATGATCAAAAGACCTTACACAGATTCTTGGCCCTTGGAAGCCCTAAAGGTCTGGACTGCATTGGACTAACATGATGCATACCTAATAAAAAGGTTGGAGAATCTTCTATGAACTCTTCTTGTGGCCATAATTTGCTGTTCTTAGATTAGCTCAAATCTGCAATATGCAGTGATTTAAAAACAAGCAGACTCTTTTGAAGGGCTTTTTTTAACTTTATGGTTGCATATTTAATAAACAGTCCACCCAAAACACAGCTTATTTTATAGTAGAGTTGTGGTAGGGAATCAGATGTGTGAAGTGTCAGGTCAGAACAGATTAGTTTAGGACACACATCACACACTTTAGAAACACCCGTAGCACTTTGTACTCTTGTTGAGATGTGCTGTATCATCTCAAAGTGTTCTACAAACAAGTAGTTGTGCCTCTGCCATAAGAGAGATCAGTATTACTCCCATTACAGATAGGAAAAGGGAAAACAAAAGGGACATGGATTTGTCTCTTGTCAGTGGCAGAGCTGGGATTGGATTCACTTGTCCTGATTTTTTGCTCTAAGCACCAGCATTGTTTCTCAGGTGTTATCTCACTGATGAACAGTGAGGCAGGAAGCAGAGTAAAGCCTTATGAGGCAAATGTTCATCTCAAAGTAGATTAATACTAATGGATCTTGAGTAGCTGCTTGGAAATTACTACAGGTTGACACCTCGATAATGTCAGGAAGATCAAAATCATTTTGGTGAGGAAAGAGGTCCTCAGGGCAAAACTCACACAAACTAAAACCAGACTACAGGTGAAGGACTAACTTCTGATTTTGGTTTCTGTTTATTTGTTCTTTGTGGTATAACTGAGTTCGATAAACGGCGTTACTTTCCTTGGTTTACAGTTATTTTATTTTGTACTTGGAAATCCCAGCTGTGTTGTTCACTAGGTGCTCTGAACACACAGTTTATGGCCCAGGGCCCGGTGACCTTCCTGAGCAGCAGGGGAAATAAAACTAGGCAAGGAGATGGCAGCGGCAAGGACACTTGCCTCAAGATGCAGAAATGAGATGACGCTGCATGAAACACAGCCCAGGGCTCTGGATCCTCACATGCCATCTGCGTCACTGTAGACACTGACTCACTTTTGGAATTACAGGTTCTAGAATGTGGTGTAGAAGGATAAGAAACCAAATAAGATCCCTTCCCAGGCAAAGAAGAGCCCAGATGAAGTCCTTGGAGTGCTGTTCTGGTGGGGAATGCTTTTTTAGCTTCTGTCATGTGCATGAGCAACTTCCTTGGAACGTCCCTCTCTGCTGGTCTTCTCATCCTCTGTTACCCTCACTCCTGGGCAGAGGCCGATGCTGTCTGGATGTGCATTGTGGCAATGAGCTTCTCTCTTGGATGGAGGACTGCATGCTGCCTTTGGAGAAAGAGAGGGCCATGATTATTGCCCCCAGAAGAACTGGAATAGTTATTTACCCACAGCAAGAAAATGTTATTTTGGGGGCAAAATGGAGCTGTAATGTTTTCCTGTTACAGTAGTTGGCAGCATTTCTCTATAGCCCAAATTGTTGTTTCTTAATGGGATCTTTACTCATAGCTGTAAGTTTACTAGAGGGAGAGACATATATGAGCAATTCTGGAATTCAAACACAATAAACTGACAGACAGGTTTAAACCTTGGGAACCTATTGGGACCAAGTGAAGAAATAGCAGAGTGGGACCCAGGACCAGGAGACTGAGCTGAGGGGATACTGGTGGCTATGTGCAGAGAAGTGTTGCATGTACAGTGATTTTCAAAGCATAGGCTATTTGGAATATATACAGTAAGGACTCACAGCTTTTTGTGGGTTCATTCAGATATTTTGACTTACTAAATTTTAGTGATGGCATGGGGAAATGGGTTAGCTAAGACAACTGCACTTGGAGGCTGAGGTAGCTGAGTGAGCTGATCTAAGAAATGGAGGTTCATTTCATAGAAATACATAAGAAAGTTGAGTAGTGACTTGGCTCTCCTTCAGAACTGATTATAAGCCATCCCAATGACCCTGTTTTTCCTCTCCCGTTATCATCTTAAACCTCCTTTGCTTCAGGGGAGGGTTAGTGGAGAGGCTGCTGAGGCTTAACCCTGGCAGAACTTGTCTTACCGTGTAGCTTCATTTTACACTGACTCAGGAGGGAAGAACGAGCTCTTGCTTCAGGGAATGCCAGGGGGCCTCTTGTTCAGGTCGTTGCCAGTGTTTGCCTGATTTCCCTAGTCAGTTGTGAGCAGTAGGTCCTTTTCTGCATATCTTGCCATGCACCTGCAGCGCTGGCACTTCATGAGATGCTCTCCCCCAAGCCAGGCACCTACCAAATACACTTTGCCATCAGGAACAGCCATCAGCCATAAACAACAAAGGAAGACACTTGATTTTGGACATAATTTTGTTCCTTGGAGAGAACGTTGCCCATGTTGTGGCACTAGTGGCTGAGACAGCCAGGGTATAAGCTGCTGTTGTAACTACAGCCATGGTGTAGCAGGTGTTAAATCTGGTGCTTGTGTTGCACTGAATACATTTCCGGGTTGGGTGCATAGCTGGATGGTAAAACAGTAAACACCTCAGGCCTAAATACCACAGGAAAACCCCTCACTTACATGTGTATCAGATGTGTTTTCCTCATGGCGCTATTCTTTAACAGATGGTTTTGAAACCCCTTTTCTCTGTGTTCAAAGGAGCAGAGGAATGTTTGCATCCCATCCTAAGGCAGTGGCCTGCCCCGACCTCCCACAGCATTTGGGGCAGTTTGCCGGGCACTGCAGAAGCCCACTGCGGTGCACAGCCCTCTGGCTCCTGGTGGCTCAGCCCACGCTGCTGGCAGAAAGGCCAGTCTTGCACTTTGCAGCTTGGCACCCCTGACCATCTCCTTGTGCCAGCCCCAGTGCCCATCCAACCATTTGACCAGCGAATTCCGCAAACCTAATCCTACCAAAAGGGAAAAAAAACAGGAGGGGAGGATTGTATCGAGACTAACTAGCCCCTGCTGCCACAGACCCTACAGCCAAAGGAGCACAAGAGTCAGCGGAGGGGGAGAGCTGCCTTTTGGCAGGAGCCCAGCTGTATGTCAGCTTAGGCCAGTTGTGAAACCACACAGCCCCTAAGGTGCAGAGAGAGCCGATGTGCTCACCAACAAACCTCACCATGATGAGCTTCACTGTTGGTGTTTGTGTTAGAGAGCCTGTAACCTCCTTAATGGATCCAGCTACTTCTGCAATTCACGTCTGAGACCTTGAAGATTTAATGCCTATATCCCCAAGCAAGAAAGGAGCAGATTCTTACTGCTCCTGCAATGCGAATGCCCGACAAGGGTGATTTTGCGTTATCCCAGGAGAGGAAGCGCCTCAGGGCAGAGCTCAGTCTTGTTCTTTTGCAAAGTGAGAGGCATAAATAGTTAATAGAAGAACAAAAGAGGACAGCTATGCCACGGTATACACCAGGGAAAATGAGAGCACAAATTAACCTTATGACTTGCCTTTTGAAGAACCGCATGAAGTTTTGGATGCTTTTCCAGCAGTGTTGCAGGAGTAATGGTGTGAGGCTATAAGCATGGCAGAATTTATAGGAAGAGATAAGGTCTTTTACTAGACCAGCTGTCCACATTGTAGAAAGCAGACACATAAGTTCTTCTTTAGGCTTTTTTTAGATTTGAAGAACTTGGGTCTCTGAAAGCATGTTTTGTCTAAGAAATAGATTGGTCTAATAAACCTCTTTTCCTCCCGTCTTGCCCCACTGCTGATTTAAGGGCACTCTTCAGGCAAAAGTTTCAGCTTTTTGAAAATGAAGCTGTTTTCAGGACGTCCTATTCCTCATGCTGGAAATTCAGTTCTCACCCTTGAAATGTTAGCTCGTAGACCCACGTGTTAAAAGGCACATCAGAGGCAGGAGAGCAGCGCAGCCAGTTACACAGGGAATTAATTCTTCTCCCTTCACTCCCCCCTGCCAGGCACGGCCACACGCCATCTAGTGAAGTAACAAAGAATGCTGCCAGACATATCGTGCACATGTAGGCTACATTTATCGCATTAAACAATGCCTACTGGAGAGAGCAGGCTTTTTTTTCAAACTCAAGTTACTTGTTTTAAGATAGGTACCCTATGGAAAGGGCCTTTCCCAGCCTTTGGTGTTACATAAACTGGGGTACTTACCAACCACACCTGTGATGGGATTGATATGAGCAAAAGACAAAATTTACAGAAAAATTGCTTAATATGTGTTCAGTAACCTTGAAGGGGCCTGTAAGGTAGCTGTTGGCTAAAATACTTCCTGGCTTAAAGGTAGATGCTGTTTAATCTCTGTAACTTCGGCACAGAGTGAACTGGACTCCTTGCCCCTTGAAAGCCAGATTCCTCCCGTTGGTGCAGCTGCAGCCTTCGCTGAGGAGCTGAGGAATCCTTGTGTCTTTCCTGCTTCGGGCTGTCATGCTGTAACTGCAGCCAGTGCTACAGGAAACAGTGCTGAGCACACACCCTCCCTTTGTGCTTTAGGAACCTTACAAAGGCAGCAAACACTTGTCTTTTGTCAGTGATTAAAGCACAAAGTGTAAGACACAGAAGATTTATAGGTTTAACATCCCTGTACTGCATGCTTGCATTTATCCCATTTACTTTAATAGGGAAGTTTCTGCTAAAACCCGGCATGATGTTTAAAATATTTACCCCATAGAGAGCAGATAATCTGAGAAGTAACAAGGTGCCATTTC